TTGCCCCTCACCGCCGCCTCAGACTCCCCTTACTCGCCAAAAGCAACCCGATCGCAGACGCTCCTGCCTTTCCCAGGCGCGTCACGCACTTCGAGCTCTCGAAGCCTGGGCTCCGGCCTGCCGCCTGGGTACTCCCCAGACGCCGCGTCCTTCTCTCCTGCCTCCTCACGCTCACAGGTACCGAGGTCTGAGGCGCTCTTCTCTCTCTCTCCAAACTTGGAACGAGACTTTTCAACCCGCGCCTCTCAGCCCGCCCAGGCAGCTGAACGCAGGCGCAGCCGTCCTGGGAAAAGTGAGAGGCGGCGGAGAGGCGGGCCTGGGAGCCAACGGCTCCTCCGCCTCAACCAATGGCGTGAGGCGGGCGGGTCTCATGCAGCGTTCGGGGGCGGGATTCTGGGGTTGGGCGGAGCGTTCCGCGGCAGGAAGTTGGCGAGGCGCAGGCGCAAGACCTCGCCCGGCGCTCCCAGGGCCAGCCGCGGGGGCGGATGGGGGCGCGCGGGGGCGGGGCGAATAGAGGCGCGGCGTACCGGGCTGCGCGGGGGCTGCAAGCCCTGGGGCAGCAAGCCCTGGGGCCGCGGGGCGTGGTTGTCTGAAGCGGGGGTGGTGGGGGCTAGCGAGGGGGGCAGGGAGCTTGAGGCCTCTTAGCTGAGCCAAGGCCAGAGGGAAAAAGGAATCTGGAGACTTCAGCTCAGAGTAATAAGAAAGGTTTTCTGTTCTCAAGAAATGAGCGCGCCCACAAAAAGCCTCCCCACTATTCACGGCCTGGCAATTCTGTGCACCCCGAAGGGCACTCCTCTATGGGGGGCCTGGCCTTTCCTGGTGCCCCAGGCGGGCCGCAGTGGGCCTTGTCGGCATTGAAGAGGCCTTTGGGAGAGGCCCCGGGCACAGGGCCGCCCTGTTAAGCCAAACGTGCAATGGTACAGTCAGCCAGACTGGTGCCCACAGGCCGGGCCGAGGCCGACTTGAATAAAGTACTCGTTTGTTTGCACGTTTGGGTCTGTAAGATGCAGTGTGCCCTCTGCACTGCAGCACCCTGCCAAGTCATTCTTGTTGCCTGCAGGGGTCTCGGGGCAACCCCACCCCCACTGGGCTCTCCCCCCCCCCCCCATCGCCCTGAGCCCTGATCTCTCTGGACGGGTGGAGGTGAGAACACACAGGCCCAAAGGGGAAGCGAGAAACGAAAATGAGGGCCTGAAGGCGAGTGGCCAACAGGCAAAGAGAAACCACAGTGCTGCTGCAAGAGCACAGCCCCCTCAGAGCACAGTGGCCCTGACACCTTCCCAAGTGCCTTCCCTTAGGTGACCACGATGACTCTGGCATAAAAGCATACAGGCGCTACAGAGATCACTGAAGTAGGTGGCAGAGCCACTTCTGTGACCTTATATAGAAATTTACTGTCTGGTATTTTCGCTGATTTTCCATATAATTCATGAATAATTCACCCTATTGTCTGAGGTGTCTGGAGAAGAAAGAGCGTTGGGAGGTGGGGGGAGACAGTGCAGCCCCTCGTATTCTAGAACACAGATAAAGCAAACTTTGTCTTTAAAGGACCAAAGAGGAAACATTTCAGCCTTTGCAGGCATCTGCTCATCCCTACCATGGTTGGTGCGCTAAAGCAGACATAAACAATGCAGACAACTGTGGAGGTTTCAATAAAACTTTATAGACGCTAACATTTGAATTCCATATCATTTTTTCACATCACAAAATCTTCTGATCCCTGCCCCAACTCCCCACTTAACAAATGTAAAAATCATTCTTAGGGGTTATGGGCTATATAAAAACAGGTGGCAGGTTAGCTTTGGCTGTCTGACCTTGATCTAGAAAAATTGTGTATTACTGCTTCAATGGGAGCCGTCTCATCGACACAGCAAGGAAGGGCTTGGCAGAGATTTCCAGGTCCCCATTAATATAATTTACTCATTTCTTATGGGTAAGCTTGATTTCCCAAACTTATTAAATGTTTCGGAATACGGTGGCTCCGTAAAATAAGCTCTGGACTGGGAACCACAAGGTTCAAGCCTGCGCTCCGCGGGAAAAAGATGAAGCTTTCTACTCCTGCGAAGATTTAAAGCCTCAGAAACTTTATATAGGGTCACTTATGAGTTGGAACCCACTGCACAACAACAATGAAATGTTTATAGGTTTGAAAGACAAGCAATCTGCCCAGCGATATGGCTTTAAAATCTTTATACTGCTTACTTGACCGGGGGTCAGAAAAGAAAGTATGGAACATATTTTAGGAATTTCTGAAAATATTCACCTAGTTGTTGTTAGTTGTATGGTAGACCGTGCATACAAGCGTGTACAGCGTAATTCCTTAGCATTAGATTTTGCTGGGATTTTTGTTTTGTTAAAATGAATGTCAGTTCCATTTCTCTCTCTCCCTTTTTTATTTTGCACACACACAAAAATGTGATACCAGTTTTCTCTCTCAAATTGATTAACTATAGTTTAATTTTGCCTTTCTCCCCAGCCGCTTGCTGGGATCCTGATCTTTTCGGCCGCATTTGCTGTGGCAGTCAGCTCAGCCTATTATTTAAGACCTAACAGGTGCACACACAAGCTGCAGACTGCTGTACTTCAGGGAGGCCTTGGTCAGGGACTTTTCGCAGACACTCCTTACAACAAAGTTGTCGAGTCTGAACCCCTAATTCCTGCACGCTGCCCGCCGCCCGACATGTTTTGCAGACGTGTACATGCCAAATGGTGTGATGCATGCTGGGATTTTATATTTTTGTTTTGAAAACATCTGCTGATTACCCTCTTAAGTTGATTTCTTGGGTGCAGTTAGACACATACATGAAGTGTAAAAAAACGCGGCACTACGTCTATTTGTGAAACTTTAGTCTTTTTCTGACCACTCTTTATAAACTAGTAATACTCCCTTCCCAAATCCCACCCATGGCCACTCTTGAACCCCTTTTCTTTCCTCTCTTTGAATTTTTTCAACTCATCACCAACTGTGGGAGTGTGGTGGCTATACATTAGACTGTGAACTACAGCAGAGGCTTTCTGCTCCTGGAAAGATTTACAGCCTCAGAAACCCTATACAGGGCCCCTATGAGATGAACTGAACAAGAACACAACAGTCACCATCTGATAGATGACAGATCGAGGCTGTGCCTCCTAGCCTAGCATGTGAATGTCAGGATGTGGTCTTTGTTTTGTTGTATCCCCAGCACCCCAAACCAGCTGAGGGAGATCAGGTAGCTAGTGAGTGTTGGAGTTATCATTGAATCCAATCCATTTTATGTTAAGACAGCAAACACAGTGAGAACCGATGATATATACTACAATCATCTTTTTACTAAAAGGGAAGAGAGGGAGTGAGAGAAATAATACTCAGGCACAGTTGTAGTGTGAGTCCATGCGCATTAGCAACCCCACCTTAACTAGTTTTTGGAGAAAATCTTAGGCATTCAGAAGTATTTTTGGGAGTACCTAGAGTGTGCTCTGGTAGCGTAGTGGTTACTAATCGGGCTGCGAACTGCAAAGTCAGCAGTTCGAAACTACCAGTGGTTCTGCGGGAGAAAGATGAGGCTTTCTGCTCCCGTAAAGATTTACAACCTCGGAAACCCTGTACAGAGTTGCTATGTGTCGGAACCGTCGCCACGGCGCATAACCACCACCACCAGAGTGTGCTGGAAATCGGGGTACATGGAAGAACAAGACAAAGAGAGATGCCACTTTTTTATACATTCCTTTATTGTTCGTTTTCCTTATTACAAAAGCAAAGCTCATTACCAAAAAAAAAAAAAATCTGAACATTTTACTTAAAAAGAGGGGCATAAGACGGGTCTCTTGTGATACAATAGTGAATAATTGTTATCAGGACTGATTGTGAGGGTCGGAAATGTAAAGGTAGACGTTTTATAGGAAGGAGGGGAGTGATTAACTTTTCAGTCTAGGAGCAGAGGTCCCTAGGACCATAAAGGGAGAAGAGCAGAGAGCGGGACCCTACCCAGAGAAGCAGTGATGCCTGAAATGGAGGCAGAGATGATGATGTGGAGGGATGGAGCAGCTGGAGACTTTAGATGCAGAGAGGGAGAGCGACTGTATGCTGAAGACCTGGGGGGTACTTGGGAAGGATTGCATGGAGGGGATTGTAACCATGGCAATGAGACAATATACGATAGAATGAATGTAAAACTAATGTTCTCCCATGTAAACTATCACATAATTCACAATAAAACATTTAAGAAAAAAAA